CCCTACCTATCTCCCTGCCCCTTGGCCCTCTCCATGTTTTCAGAGTTAATAAAGCCCAACCCCCCACCCCGTTTATTTCTGCTTCTCTGCTGCTGCCGCTGCCGCCACCAATAAAACCTAATAACTAGCTTGAAGTCAAGACCCAGCTCTGACACTTCTGTAGTACTTATGAACTCACAAGAACTCTTGAAACATGTGTTTATGGAATGACTGTTTTAAACACTGGGGACAGGGAAGAAGAAAGCAACAGACAACGCTGAGGCATAGAGAAGGTGGAGCAGGATGCCGTTTCTACTGCCGGGCCCAAAAACAAGGGGCATGAATGATGGCTTTGCAAATAGCTTGAGAGCTAGAGCCACGAAAAATCACTGCTTGGCAGACCTGTGTTAGCCCAAAGACGCAGCCACTTCCAGAATGATGGGAAGCAGAGAGGGGTAGCGTTCCTCTTTCCCCCACTCTGAGTGTCTGCAGGAACCCCCTCTGGAAGCCAGAGGAAGGGCACTCAGGTGACTGAGTCTTTGAAGTCACCATCCTGACGGACAAGAGAGGCAGAGAGAATGTATCTTGGGTGTTAGTCAAATATCCATAATCCATTCTGCATGAGTCTGAGTGACCTTTCCTTTCTAACGTCTGTTTTCTCATCTAGAAACAATGTGTTTAGAGACAACACATACAAACTCGAACACAAAAGCTGTTCATTAATATTATCTCCATCTAACACTGTACTGTAGCACTTTGACATCTTTGAGAGGAATTCCTCCACCAAAAGCTGGGACCACAGCCACCCCAGCCTCCCTGTTGGCCTGCTGAAGAGCTTTCCGGGACAAAAGAGATATGGACATAAATCCTTATTTTTAAAAAGACATGACAAGAAAAAATGAAAAGTGAGTTTCTGATTTTGTATTCTAAAAAGTAAGGAGTAACACGAGCAGAATGAAAATCCTTTACTTAAGAAAGCCTCATTCCTCCCTCGTCTATGATTCTTAACAACAAACCAGAGGAGAAGCATTTACAGGAGATACAGGAGCCCTTTCCCCCACTTTCTCAAGCCATCTGTCCAGAATCCAGGCCCTAAAATTGCTTCCTCCTTGGTAGCCCGAAGTCTACAGATAGAGAGAGATTAAACTACTCCTGGATTTGTCTTCTTGGGACAGAGTCATCTAGGATTCTTGTAATGGGATTAGGCATTTCCAGAAAATCAACACATTTATAAGCAGATTTCTAAATCGGGGCCTGTCCAATTAAACACAACTCTGTAAGTGAAAGCTGCGATGCCACAACTAGAAATAGCACTGACATTTGCAATTGCAAGTCTGTCTTTCTTTCTGGGAGCTATTGTCAGTATTTCTGGAGCTAACCCAGACTTTGGAAATTTGACTTAGTTGAATTTTTTCATTCTTCAGATGGAGAAACCTGAGAACCAATAAGAATGCAGAAAAGGGGGTTCCTTGTGGTCCCCAGGCCCCTCCTCTAGTTCCTTTATACTGCAAAACACAGCCCCTTTGCATTAAAGCTCTGGAATCAAGCACAACTCTGAGGAATTAAATTCTTTATAGTGAATATTATTGAATATTCACTTCTTAACTGAGGCCAGCAATCAACTGATCTGTGAAATATTTTAAAACATCGGCATACCAGAGAGTCCACTGTTTTATAAATGTCCCAGAACTTCATCTGGGAGAAAGAACATTCTTTCTTGTTGACAGAAAGTACTCCATCATGGGCCTTAATTTCCTTAATGCTGTGTAACCATTTAATCACTTTTTAAATTGCTACAATCATTCCACATCCTTCTGTTCTCTTGAAACAGTCCTTGTCCTTCAGCTGTTCATTTCAGTGGCTTTTCACATCTGTCTGCTCTGTGTGTTGGAGATGACTCTAGCTGCATCAGTCACACAGACCGGGCCAGCGGCACCTTGTCTGACTTCCTCCCTCAGATGCTTCCAGACCCCAGCTACCGGCGAGCTGAGCGTTTTCAGAATCTGCATATTAGCTCGGTGCTATAATGACTGATGTCAGCCCTGGCTTTGCCAAACTTCTCTCATCACCACTAGTCGAGCCCATTCGGGGTGGGGCTCACACTGTGGGGCTCACGCTGCTGCGCAGGAGCACAGTCCTACCCCCCCATTAGCTGTACAGATGCAACCACGCCACAGTCGTTCTCCTTCCTTAAAGGACTCTGGCTGCAGTGGGCAAGAACTTGTGACTGTTGTCACTGCCTGTCCGGGGAGATGGTAGGAAAAGAAGAGATAGTGCAGTAACCAGAGTGGATAAAATGCTCTCCTTTCCCAAACAACTCTCCTGAGTCTGTCAAACTCTTGCTTGCTTATCCCAATTCCCTGAGACATTTTTTAGGAAAGCGAGAAGAAACTGTCCACCTCTACTCTGAGCCCAAGGCTTTAACTTGCTTACATTTGAGCCCTAAAGCACACTGCCAGCTGCAGGCTTCTGTGAGCATTGTTTTCTTTATTGGTGTGTGAGGGGGAGGTCCTATGTTGCACAAAATAGGCCATAAGAGGACTTCTGCATGTTTCTAGGGCAGTCGAGGGAACGTGAGACTCAGCCAGACGAATAAACACACATTTAATAGTACAGGAACATGGGTCAGAAAAAAATGATTCTAAAGCAGTGTGGAGAAAGAAAGAATCTTCTCCTCATTGGCTTAATGCATCCCGTATGTTTCCTCTGAACACCGCCTATTCCTTGACAAGCTTTCCCTCCCCACTATGTAGCACTTCTTTGCTAGCGTGGCTCAAGAACTGAAGCCTCTCACGGGGTGTGTTTATTTATTTACACTGTCATTCCTATTCTCTTCCAAAGTAACATATGTCTGCAGAGCACACGTAAGAAGTGTCTCTTTTCATGTTTATTTCCCCAAAGCTGTTCACCAAATTGCTTTTTTACGTCCCTTTTGCAGTTTCACCCCATTCAGCTCAAGTAAACCAGATTAAAAAGTCTCTGGAGTCATTGTCAAAGGAAGCCTCCCAGAGCCCTTAAATCTCCCGCATTTTATGGTGCGGAGATTCAGGACCTGAGATACCAAGCAAGAAGGAAAGCCAAGCTGATGAAGACAGGCACAAAAACACAGAGCATTTTCTTCTTGAGATAATCGTGATTGGAATTGTCCAGTTATCTGTGACTTTCCTGGATCAAAGTGATAAACTCAAGTTACTTGCAGCTAGACATTGTGCAACAACAGATGTGGGCACTGTGTGTGCGCGCGCGTGCGCGCGTGCATTTGCTTGTGCACAGTGGGGTGTTTAGGAGACAGTGCTCCCACAGAAAGAAGCAGGGTACAAATGGGAATTCTTACAAGTAAGCCAAAACATCCGAGGCAAAAGGAATAGACAACCTTTGCTTCTCTTCTAATTGATAGGCTTTCTGCCTTTCTTGTGCTATCAGGGATAAAGAAAATTCTGCCTCCTTTAAAAATTCCAACACAATTATGGAAAATAATAAATGATGTTTAACTGGAGAATCAGCCTCGAAAGTCCAGCCTCTCAGACTCCAATTTTTAGCACCTTGCAAAGAATGCACAGTTCGAATTCCCCTTTTTTCACATGCAGGCCGTCTCATTCCTCAATCCTGCTTGCGGGTGTACACCATGGAAGGACTCCAGGGACACCAAAGGATCACGAAGGGCAGTATAAGGTGATACCCTGTGCTTCTTGTCTAACTTACTGTCATAAATGAAGACCATCCTGCAAATCTTAGTTGTTTTCTACAAGGTTTGAACAATCTCTACCCCTTAAATTAGCTGAGCATGAAAATTAGCAAGGTGTCTGCCAGAGTCAGGAACCTTTTCAAAGTGGCCTCCCACAAATTCAGTGCTGTTAACCTGCAGGGAGGCAAAGTGTACTCTACCCCTTCAAATAGTCTGTTGAACACAAACTCCTACAGCAGGTTTATATTTCAAACACTTTGGGAGCTTGTGACCTTCAACTACACACTCCTGCAGAACTACTGAGGGCTCATCAGCTACGACTACCGGAGAAGGAAATTCACCCTGTCTAACTCTAGCCGGTTGTGCACCGCCAACCAGCGGGGGAGGGGGTGGCGGTCCTTGGTGCTGCGACCCCAGTGAGGGCCCGGGACCCTTGCCCTCCGCCACCGTGGGCCCCACTTGTGCTAGGGATGAGAGTCTTGGAACTTCTCCCTCAAGACAGAGGGAAGGTTTGCACACATGAGAACCTAGAATGCACAACAGATTGTCCAAGGAATTTTGGGGGACAGAAGGAACCAGAAAAACTCCAGTTGTCTACCGACGAGCTGGCTCTTGATCTGCCTTCACCAGAGCCGCAGCACAAAGCGCTTCCTAGCGGATCACCCACGCCTCCCCGCGGGTCTTCGCCCTCCGAGCAGGAGCAGGTAAAACCAGGCCAAGCTGCCCCCAGGGCACTGATTCCCACCCGACCCCTAGCCCAACTGCGGCTGTTTCTGCTGAGAGAGAGGCGAAGAGACTTAAAAACAGCAGGAGAGGCCAGGATCCGTGCAGGGCTCTGCAACCACAATCTTTCCAGCACTTCGCAGACGGCGCCGGCTGCAGTGGGGGCGCAGAGCCCCCGAAAGTTGGGTTCGCCTGGGCCGAGGCTGCGACCCCAGGCTGACTCGGGAGCCCCACCCTCTACATCTCGAACCCCGCGGCACAGCCCCACGCCACCTCTCCGGCCACGGAACCCTCCGAGGGCTCCCTAGCCGCGGGACCGCCCTCGCAGTCCACTCCCGGGTGCAGTCTCTCCGCGGGCTCTGCGGCGCCGGGAGTTGCCGCGCCGAAGACCCGGGCCCCGCAGGCGCCTCTCCTCGAGGCTCCACCGCGGCGCAGCGCTGTACTTTTCCAGCTCCTTCTCCCCTCCTGAAATTGAAAGTTATTGAGGTCGCCCGGGGTTGCCGCTCGCTGCTTCCTTCCCCGCCCCCAGCTCCCCGCCCCCCGCGGCCGCCCTCCCCTCCCCCCTCCCCTATGGGGTGCTCCCCGCCGCCCGCCCTGCACTGCCGCGGTACTGCTCGCCTAGCCGGCCGCAGCTCGGGTCTCTCCGCCGCCCCGGCCATGGCCGCGCTGCCCCCGGCGCCCGCGCCCCTGCGCCCCGGGGGCCGCCGCTGAGACTCGGGGCCGCGGCCGCCTGCCCGCCCGAGATGCTCCCCGAGGCCGCCGCTGCTCCTGCGGGGTGACGGCTTCCCCGTCGCCCGCGCGCGTCCGGCCCCTCCGTCCAGTCTCGGACGCCCAAAGCGGTCAGCAGCCACAAGCGGAGGCCGAGAGGGGAAACCTTCCTGGGTTACTATGCGCTTGCGACTGATCCCTTGGTTTTTCATCATCCTGAACTTCATGGAGCACAGCGGCAGCCAGCACGCCGCCCGCGGAAGGCGGCAGCGCAGAAGTAAGTGGGGCTGCGCCGGGCGCGTGCTCCCGCCCCGTCCACCTGTCGGGTAGCCTGCGCCCCACGCCCCCTGGAAGAGCGGGCGCTCTCGCGCGGGGTGTCAGCGGCGCCCCGCTGTCCCGCACCCTGCCGGGACTGGACTCGGGGGCGCTGGGGTGCCTCGCGTCTCCGCGTCACTTCTGCTTCTGGGAAAGTCCGATCCTCCGTTAGATTTGCTCTAGGGATGGGTACTTCATTTTGGGGGTGCGTATCGGGACCTCGAGCCCTAGCAGCTTGGGTGCCTGGCTCGCGAAGCACCAGCCAGGGCTGCCGTGCTGCCCTCGGTTGGAGAGCGCCCTGGGTGGGCCAGGGATGCAGTGGCGAGAGCCTGCGCTGTGGCCGCCCGCTACTCACGCGAGGGCAGAGGGGCGCCTGAATCTGCAAGCTCGGCCCCAGATTCGCGCTCACCCGAGCCTCAGAGCCGGGGACCCTGGTCCTCCCTGCCCGTCGCACATGAGCCCCTTGGCCGCCTCAGACCCTTCCTAGTGGGCTCCCAAGTCGCGCGTGCACACGGAGGGTGGAGCCCCCCGAGCCTCGCTCTCCTTAAGGCGCTTGGAAAGCTGTCTAGTGACAGCTTCCCAGGCGTCCGCAGTCCCAGGCGGACGTCGGAGTGGTGTCGCGTCCCTTGGGAAGGAACGGAGCGAGAGTGGCTCTTCCGTCCACTCTGTTCTCCGGCGTAGCAAGACCTTTGCGGACCCCGATACCGGCCACACAGGCGCAGACCTTGGGGCTCGAGAGTGCCGCGGTCTCCTGGGCGGCTCGGAGCGCCGTGCTCCAGGTCCCCGGGCGGATCCCCGGGTCCGGCCCGCAGAGCCCCTCCGGACAGAGTCGGACACAACCCGGGCTTGTGTGCCGTGGAAATTGGGTAATCGCTCCCGGCCGCGGCTGTCTCTGCCCTGCCCCTGGGCGCGAGGGTCCCCTCAAAGCTGCCTTTGTGCCTCGGCCTCGGCCAGACAAGGTCTGATTCACCTGAAAATAGCCCTCGGCGAAGCTCCCGGGTCCGAGCGCCAGGGGCTCCCTGCCTGGAGGCTCGCGGAGCGGGGCGCAGAGGGCCCGGGCGGAGCGCGTCAGGGCGCCCGCTTTATTATTCTTGGCCTCGGGATGGTTTGTCCTCTTCCTGGCTTTCCCACCCAGCCTGGCTCGGGGTGCGCCGCGGCCCGAGGAGCAGCCGGCGCGGGTGTCTGGTGCCTGGTGCAGCTCAGCTTGCGTCGGGGCGCGGTTGGTCAGGGAGTCGTGCTGTGGGGCGTTGGGAAACCGAGGCCAGGAGGGCGCAGTCTCCTGCCTGGCTCGGCCCGTCGGCGTCCGAGCTCACTCCGCGGAGGACCCCTTCGGGCCCTCGCTGCGGGTTACGGCGGGCGCCCGAGAACCAGGGCGTCCCGATTGGTCGGTTTGGGGCCCCCGCTTCTAAGGGAAGATGCCGGAAAGCGGGCTAGCCCGTGTGTGCCCCGTCTTCCACGGGACAAGCAGGGCGCGGGAGGCCGGGCGCCGCCGGACCGAGCCGGGCGGTGTAGGGCGAGCAGCCCCCGGCCGCGCTCAGGTCTCAAGGCCACGTCCGAGGCGCCCCCTGGCTGCGCCGCGGGATGAGAGGAGCAGGGGCTCTGGGCGAGGACCCCGCGGGGCGCGGCAGCCTGAGCCGATGGGCGATGCCCCGCGCGCCTTCGCACTGCAGGCTGCGTTTGCCGCTTGGTTTGCAGCGCAATCCTGGGAGAGGGGCGACCCCTGGCGTCCCCTGAGGAGACCGACCCGGCTCTCTTGGCAGGTGCAGCGCTTCGTGCGCGACGCGAGAAGTGGGGGGTGGAAGGAACCTCGAGGGGGCCTCCAAGTCCAGCTGCACTCTCCTCAGCCCACTGGGGTGATTTCTTTGGAAGGATCTGAAAAAAGGGGGAATTACGAAAACCTCTAACAGGAGCTAAGTTAAAGGGTTTCTTAAATTATAATGAGACGGTATTTTAAAAAGAGGCCAACGTTTTCAATTGTCTTCAGTAGATAACTAAGGCGAATACGTAAGAGTCTCTTTTGGCTTGTACAAAATTTCACTTTTGCAAATCTTTAAAAAGCACCACTAAAAACAAAGGTAAATAGAAGGTGTGAGAACTTTTCCCCCAAAGTGTTCTGTGTTCTGTTCAGTGGTGTCCTGAGTGTTTTAGCAGCAGAGCCTACTGCGGGAGACGCCGAGGGCCAAAGAGCCAAGACTGTAAAGAGCTGGCGAAGTCGCGCTCCGTGTCCCTCAGACGCTTATTTATTCCCTTAAACAACTCTTACTTAATTATTCTGTACTTTATTACAAACTAGTGTTTTCTTTTATGAAAGAAACCGTTTTAAAAGAGAAGTCTAACCGTATCTAATTAGAGTTGAATAAACACATAATTACATGTTCTCTATTTGGATTGATAACTCCTAGAGAAAAATATTGAATTTAGTCAAGATAAAAATTAGATACAATCCTTGCTGAAAACTCCCTAGCCAGGAATGTTTTTGGAGGTAAGCCTACGCTTTAAGTAGAGGATGCTAAGCGAAAAAGTCCGGACCCCGGTTTTCATTCATTTCCAGTGTGCTAGTCTCTCACAAAATGAGAATAAAGTAGTAATCACAATGCCTACTAGGGTTGTGTACCTGGGCCCCCCCATGTCATTTGAGATGTACTGGCAACTACTCATCTCTGCTTGACAGAGAAAAGCTCTCAGAAACAGGCACTCTTTCTGTGTCCTATGGCCGGCAAACGATCCTCCTGCTGCTCCATAAACTTCATAGTTGCTCATCCCTTTATACTGTATGCGGATCCGTGTTATAGACAGCGGGCCTCTTAAGTAATAAAATAATCAAGGAATAAATTTGATGGTCTCTAAGCCATCATTTTCCCTAAAGTTTAGAGAGAAGTTGTTCTGCTGGAAAATTTTGAATTGATATTTTTATGCCTAGTGCAATGGTGGCCATCGTTAAAGGGTCAGATATGTAACAGTGGCAATGAAGCGCTGTACAAAATGATACTATTATTGGACAATCCAGAGGGCAGCATAGTATCATATTGTGCCAGAAAGCTTTTGTTGTAAACAATAGCTAAAGAATTAGTATTCCTTTTTTATTCCCATCTATAATTTCAGGTTTTTATTGTTTAGATTTTAGATAAATGTAAGTTTTAAGATGTCATTGTATATGTAATAAGTATAACGTGTCCCATTGCATAATCTATGAAATGATTTGAAATTTTCCATGAAGAACTGTGAAAAAAGGGGCAAGAATATAAATAAAATCATTTTCATGTCAATAAAGTAAAAACAAACTTATTAGAATATACTGGTCCTTGCTTAGGATAGTGTCAGATCGTGAGTCATTCTCTGAGATTTGAATACATTCTTGGTGATTATATTGCTAATTTTGGAAAATAAGTTAATGGGTGAAAGAGAAAGTATAATATTAATTTAGAATGAAATTTAACTTGGATATCATCTACAGTACAATTTTCCATTTGTCTACATTGGTCACCAGATTACTGTTTTTGAGAAAAACATCATACAGATAGACATGAACAAAATTTGCTGGCAAATGTATATTCCATGACATATCGTGTAACATAAACCAAAGAAAAATGAAAACTAATAGGCAGTAATGGTAAAATCTAAGGACAAGCAAAAACCATTTGTCTTTGCAGATTCTAACTCAATCATTATACTATCAAGGTTGTTGTCCTAAAATACCCCATTACATTATTTTATTTATTTGCTTATTACTAGAATAAGATTTTGCTAACCATACTAGAAGTGGTAGTTCTGAAATACTGTCCTTTTAGCTCCAGGTTACTCTAAGTAACTGGGAATATGAGAATGAGTGCAAAGTGACTTACTGTAATTATTTTATTATACCTTTAAGAGCAAAATATGAACAGTATTTCAACTTTTAAGTTGATAAGCTTTGCTAAATCACTTCTCCATTAAATATTTTCCTAGTATTAACATCCTACAAATTAGCTCCCCAGAAAGCAGTGAATGGAAATTGTGGCATGTAATAAAATTTGATTTTCAAGTTATTATGGGAAAACCTTTGCTATACTACTACACACTGAGTTTATTAGTCATTTGATCTCAATTGTAAGTGATTGGAATCTGGACAGGGCTCTCAGATTGCTATTAAATATCTAAAATATTTTCTAGTGAATTGTCTAATCTTTTTTTTAGAGGCAGTGGTTCTCTCCAATCCTCTATAGTGTAGAGTTGTCAGAACCTCTTCTAGAGGTTAAAATCAAAAGATCCCTGTGCAGTTATCACCTTGAACTGTTAAAAACACAGACCACAACCGATTACATGGTGATTTACCAAATCATCTTTCTCCCTTTATCTCAGCCATAAGTAGTTTTCATTTTAAAACTTTCTTCTGGTGTTCTCCTTTCTCACTACTCTTTCACATAACCCATCCCCAGCCCCTAAAATTTTCTTTTCCAAATAGTGAATTCTTGGAATGCCTCCACAGTGGGTATTATGTTTCATGAAATGTAAGAGTCAACTTTGGTTACTATTAGGAAAATATCATTCAGTTTTGAGGACATGGTAAGGATCGTGCAAGACAGTGTGTTTGTGTTGAAACTGTGTTTGACTTCGTCAGGGTGATTTCTTCTAATAGTGTATTATAAACTGGCATTCTTTCAGAAATGATAATTTGAAAAACAATGTTGCACTGCAAATTACATAGGTTTATTTTTGCTTTGTTACTGATTTTGAGGGACAATTAGATTGTTTTCTTTGTTGTTGATTTTTCACAGATTAACAGGATTGAATCATTTTTAAAGTTTAACCTTCTACTGGATGGTAGTAAATTTGAAATATTTTATAATTTATACTTTAGTAAAATATATACCGCATAAAACATGCACATATGAAAGATGCTATTTATAATTTGTATTTAATTCAGTACATAGCATTCTGGTGAAATTCATCATCTAGAAATAAGAATAATAGAATGATCTATTG